ATTCAAAGTTACAACAACACTGCAAAGAATGATTTATGACCATTTTCCCACACTTACGACCTTTGCAGCAGCCCCGTGGTTGTATGGTCAGAATTCAGACACTTGGCAACTGACTCGTATTTATGACCTTAGTTTGCAGTGTCCTGGGATCCCCTTTTTGCGACCTTCTGACCACTAAAGTTGACGGGGAAGTCAGATTCACTGAATAACCAGGCTACTAACTTAACAACCATAGTGATTCATTTAACAATGGTGGCAAGGAAGGTTGTAAAATGGGACAAAGCTCACCACAAATGTTTCACTTAGCAACATAAATTTTGAGCTCAATTGTGGTCATAAATTGAGGACTACCTTATAGCTTGCCTACTATCCCATAACTGCTATCATTCTGACTGATGCATGCCAACCTTCCTCATTTATCAGATGGAAGACTCAAATGTAGGAAGCTGCCACTGGCACTTGCGCAATATCTACTCAACACTGATTCCAAATGGAAAGCCAAATAGGTTGTTGAATGTCCAGTCATAGGAAGACATATAAATGACTCCATGCAAAAGATTTTTTTTTTATTTATTTGTTGCGATTTATATGCCGCCTTTCTCCCTAGGGACTCAAGGCGGCTTACAAAATGACAACTTCAATATAAATCACAGTACAATACCAAATTAAAATCAGTAACCCAATTAAAAAATGATTTAAAATTATACCAGTGTACCCCCAAACGGATCAGTTTAATTGGCGGAAGAGCCACGTCTTCAGCTCGCGGTGGAAGGAAAGAAGGTCGGGGCCTGTCCTGAGCTCAGTGGGCAATCCATTCCAGAGGGTCGGGGCTCCCACAGAGAATGCCCTCCCCCTGGGGGTTGTCAGCCGACATTGTTTGGCCGACAGCACCCTGAGGAGGCCGACTCTGTGAGAGCGCACAGGACTATGGGAGAACGGCTGGAGATGGTCCTGCAAGTACTCCGGGCCTAAGCCATGAAGGGCTTTATAGGTGAGCACCAGCACCTTGAAACGTATCCAGAGTGCCACTGGTAGCCAGTGCATCTCACGCAGGAGAGGTGTTACACGGGAGTATCTAGACGCCCCCGTAACTACCCGCGCGGCTGCATTTTGGACTAGCTGAAGCCTCCGGACACATCCCAAGGGCAGCCCCATGTAGAGGGTGTTACAGTAGTCCAACCTAGAGGTAACAAGGGCGTGAGTGACCGTGGCGAGGGCATCCCGGTCTAGAAACGGGTGCAACTGGCGCACAAGACGGACCTGTGCGAAGGCCCCCCTGGTTACGGCCGTCAGATGGTCATCTAAGGACAGCCGAGAATCCAGGAGGACACCCAAGTTGCGGACCCTATCGGAGGGAGCAAGGGTTTCACCTCCGATCATTAAGGATGGAACCTCCAGATCCCGGGATGCCGGCATCCACAGCCACTCAGTCTTGGAAGGGTTGAGTCTAAGCCTGTTCCTCCCCATCCAAACCCGCACCGCTTCCAGGCAATGGGACATCACGGAAAGGGCATCCCTAGGGTGGTCGGGTGGAAATGTAAAGCTGGGTATCATCAGCATATTGATGATACCTCACCCCAAAACCACGGATGATCTCACCCAGCGATTTCATATATATATTAAAGAGCAGAGGAGAGAGAACCGAGCCCTGAGGCACCCCACAAGTGAGAGGCCTCTGGGAGGATCCCTGACCCCCCGCCCAAACAGACTGCAGACGGCCCGAGAGATAGGAGGAGAACCACTGTAAAACAGTGCCTCCTAACCCCATCCCCCTGAGCCGCTGCAGCAGGATACCATGGTCGATGGTATCGAACGCCGCTGAGAGGTCAAGAAGGACCAGGATGGAGGAGCAACCCCCATCCCTGGCCCGCCAGAGATCATTTACTAGGGCGACCAATGCCGTTTCCGTGCTGTGGCCACGCCTGAAACCAGATTGGTAAGGATCCAGGTAGTCAGTTTCCTCCAGGAATTGAGGGAATTGCTGTGCCACCACGGACTCAACAACCTTCGCTAAAAAGCGAAGGTTGGAGACTGGATGGTAGTTGTTAAGTACGTCAGGATCCAGGTTAGGCTTCTTAAGGAGGGGTCGAACCACCGCCTCTTTAAGCGCAGCGGGAAAGACCCCTTCCTTTAGTGAAGCGTTGACAATAGCCTGGATCCAGTCTCCAGTCACCTCCCTGGCTGCCGAAACAAGCCAGGAGGGACAAGGGTCCAGTAAACATGTGGAAGACCCCAGCCTACTCATAATCCTGTCCACGTCATCCAATGAAACAGGCTCAAACTCAACCCAGATGTCTCCACCGAGACTAGGCCCTGTCACCTCAACGGACTCTGTCCAGTCGCAGTCCAACCCGGTCCGAATCTGAGTGATTTTATCTTGCAGAAACTGTGCAAAGTCCTCAGCACAGCCCTGTAAGGGGTCCTCCCTCGCTCCCTGATTAAGGAGGGAGCGGGTCACTCTAAACAGGGCTGCTGGGCGATTTTCTGCAGATGCAATGAGAGTGGCGAAATAGTTACATTTCGCTACTTCCATCGCCACAAGATAAGACCTAATATGGGTTCTTAGTTGTGCCAGGCTTTGAACTATCACACCAGCAATAGACAATCCTGGATAGGATTCACATCTCACATAGTGTCTGCCGGGAGTCTCCATATAAATGTGGCATAGTATCCTCCTCTCAGTGTGACTATGAGATCCCACGTCAAACTGTAGATCTCATCACGGCCAGCTATAAACTGAGGGCATATACCGATCCAATATCCGATTATTTTTTTGTATAAATGACGCTGCGCTTTAATGATAGACATTGATATCTGAATATAGATTTTTTTTTAATATTCATATTTTATTGTGCTCTTTGGTCTAGGCGAAATGTTAATATATATTGCAAGTCCATGTATGATATGCCATACACCAAATAAATATCACACAGCTTGGCTGGTTAAACTTAGCTTTGGTTTTGAAGAGGTACTAACTAGGACAGATGAAGTTCAGGCAATGGGGTCTTCCACCAGAGACCTGCACAGCTGCTTTTATCCTTTGGCAGCAGCATCCATCACAATTTCATTGTGACCTGGAATAACTTAGTTGATCTAGATCAGGGGTGTCAAACTCAAGGGGAGACACTTAGATCTGGCCCGTGGGGCCACTCTAGAAACAGCAAAGGACTGGCCCATGGTGCCTCTCCCAGCAAAAACAGCACTTGGAAGGGCCACGGGCAGCCCTCCTGAGCTCTGTTTTCACTAGTAGAGGGTTGCAGGAGGCCATTGCAGCTGAAAATGGAGCTCATGAGTGCCGCAGGCAGCCCTCCCAAACTCTGTTTTTGCTGGCAGAGCACTCGGGCCACCACAGGCACACCCAATACAAGTGATGTCGAGCAGGCCATGCCCACCCTGGCCACACCCACCCTGACCCCCGAGGTCAAAAACAACCCTGATGCAGCCCTCAATGAAATCGAGTTTGACACCTCTGATCTAGATTGTCGAGTCAAATGTGGCTTGCTACACTTGGTTGTGGTCAACTGGGCCCTTTCTGATTTGATCTGATCTGAATTGGTACCCTTTCCATCCATCAGTGTAGGATCTCAGCATCTGCTCAGCTTTGGACACTCTTTTCCCTTTTTCCAAAGTGACAAAGTTGTTTTATTTTCACCTTCTACTCACCTGTTTGTTAAACTATCCCCGATGGCAGGTTGCTGGCCATCATCTCAAATTCAGGAAAAGTTCAAATGAACTTTTGCTTTGCCAAATGTGTAACATTTGTCAAAAGATGGAAATTCCTTTAGGTCTTGGGCCTGTCTGGTTTTTGGAACTTAGAAGGAACTTCTCACTTTAGTGCCCAGTTGAGGTCTAGAAGGGGGCTGCACAGATATATCCAGAGCTAGACTCAAAAGGGGACCTAGTAGGCTTATACTGGGAAAGATCAAGAGGACAAAGTAACAGGCAAGCATGAAATTTGAACTGTAAGCCACCCAGATTCCTTGATTAAGATGGGCAGCTATAGAAATTGAATAAATAAAATAAAGTGCTCTAGAATTTTGTATCAGGCAATTTGCTTTAAAAGGAGGAGGAAATTAGGGGATGTTAGTTACAATCTGAAGGTTGTATTTAAATACTGGCTAAAATCAATCATTGGTTAAGTCATTTTGTGGAGTTCTTGTGCTTTACTGAGGCTCCTTAAGAAGCAAATGAAGCTGACATATGTCAATTCAGTCAGCAAACCATAGTTTAACAAATTAGGCTTGTTTAATCAACAAACTATAACCCATAACTAACTATGGCTTAGAGTCTTAAGGGGCCGTGGAGGGGAGCAGCACCTGTGTTCACCACGTGGAATAATTTCAGGTTGCATCCAGGGCTCTCTTATAAGAGGTATAAAATGAAAAGACGAACAATTCTGTAGTTGCCTTGCTGTTTTTTTGAACTACCCATCCATAGCTATTCCCATGGAAATGAAACTTTCTTCATAGACAGAAGCCAAAAAACAGAGAAATTCATTATTATGGAAGAAAGCTAAAAATAACTGTAGATGATATACGTGGTTTTAAAAAAAAGAACCCTTCACAGCATCCAATCTTCTAACAAAATAGGTGAAGCCCAAAAGTTTTTCAAGAGGCAACTGGACTTTCTGGGTTTTCTTTGAAGGCGATTCGCTTCTTATCCAAGCAGGTGCTTCGGTTCTTCAACTGAAAAAGCTTCTTGGATAAGAAGCGAAACATCTTCAAAGAAAAACCAGAAAGTCCGGTTGCCTCTTGAAAAAGCACCTTTGGGACAACCATGACCTGGATGACTGAGAATCTCTACAGATTTCTAGGTGAAGGGCCTAAGTAACACTATTGGTTATACAGCAACAGATTTTACTCAAGGCCACTAATTCCCATCCACTGCTTCCAGCATGTCCCACTCAGATATGTCCCCTCAGGCTCTGTCTCTTGATCCACTATATCCCTCTTCCTTAGTTTTTAAACTTCCCAAGACATCATAAAAGATAACACTAGCTCTCATGAGAATATGATATATTTATTTGCTTGTTTAACTTAATTGTTGGCCATCAAGGAGGCTTTCCAGTCATACATTTCTATTGCACAAGTCATATAAGATAATTGTGGCTAGAAAATCATAGGATAGCATCTTAGTCTCCTTTCATACTTAAGAGTCTATCGGCTTACTCAGATAACTAGTGACTAGTTAGATTACATCAAAAACATGAACCTTACTGCACTTAGAGGTCATTGAGGTAGGAAGAAAAACATGGAACTGGTCTGTAGTGACATGGAATTAATCAACAATCCATCTTTCAAAGCTAAGGAATGGTAGAAGATGAGCTGGACATTGCTGCCTTCCGGATAATCTTTGAAGTATGCAACACCAATAAACACACTGGGATAGATGTAAGAAATTGAACCAGGTAGGTTCGAATGTATGGCATGATGGAAACAGTGAAGATTATCATCAAAAGTCATTCTGAAAACTGTTTGGGACTTTGGCTGGAAAAAAAAAGCCCTTGTCCAGTTGAGAATGAGACACTGATATACTCAACCGAAATCTAAAACATATTTCTTTGGTATTTGACATTTCCACCTGGAGAAACAAGGTCCACCCATTCTTGCAAAGCTGTAGGCCTGCTTCCAAAGGTCACCTAAGAGCAAAGGTAGCTATTGTAAAAATATCTAACATCATCGTCTCAAACCAGTCAACATAAGGCCATAGTTTGATATTGCAAATGTCAGGAGCTTTCCATTCCCCAACTAGGTTTCCTCTAGAGCATTACTCCATTCATGTTGACCTTTCTTGCTGGGACCTACTTCTCCACTTGCTTCTCTGCTGCGACCTCTTGGAGCCACCTGATTGTGTGATTCCGGCTCTCTTCCCAGGTGAAACAAGGTTTGTATCCAAAGTGTTTCAGGGCCTTGTCGGTCTTTACAGTGAAGGTAGTGCTGGCCACGATCAGGGTGTAGGGATTGAGGATGGGTGCATACATGCGGAAGGGCTTCAGGAGCCACTGTAGGATAGCATTGAGCAGAGCTATCAGATGGAGGACAAAGAATGGCAACAGAGGCTGGGACCCCAAGAGGCGGAAGCCGCACGGCCTCAAGAACTCCATGTTAAAGTCCTCATAGCTCTTGTATGGAGAGTCATCATAGCAAAAATAAGCTTGGCCCCCGATTGTTGAGGGGTCCTCTTGGATCTTCTGAGCCACCAGGAGATGCATCCAAGCCACGTTGCCTACAGAAGGGGCAAGTCAGGATACCAGAAAGATAATCAAGTGAGAGATGTTTCACTAGCCAACAATCACTTTTGTGAAAATGCAGGGATAACATGGAGATACAATAACGCAACACCGTTTACTCAAGCCAACACAGCAGGGATAAGATCTCAGATGTATTTCTAAAAACAGTGCCTCATACATTCTACAAGATCCGACCACACAACACACTGAAATAGGGATTGTCTTTGCTTGTGTGTGTGTGTGTATGTGTCTGTGTACAGGTGTGTTTGTTTATTTTTTGAGAAATTTACAATAATCGGTGGAATGATTTGCCTGCAGAAGTTGTGGGAGCTCCAACACTAGAGGTTTTTAAGATGATATTGGGCAACTATTTGTCTGGAGTGGCCTAGGGTCTCCTGCTTCAACAGGGGGTTGGACTAGAAGACCTCCAAGGTCCCTTCCAACTCTGTTATTCTGTTATTTCCCAGTTCATACTGGGAATGGGGATTTTTGGGAAAGGGTTAAGCTAGGGGTGTCAAACTCACGTCGTCAAGGTGTCATGTGACATATTGTGACTTTTTCCCTCTTTACTAAATGGGGCATGGCCAGGGCCAGCGTGTGACGCATCCAACCTGCAGGGTGTGAATTTGACAGCCCTGGGTTAGGCCTTGCTTTTGCTTATACTGGAATGAAAATAGCAAATAAATCCAGCAGCTAAACTGAAGTCATTTTCTTTTTTTAAAAAAAATCTTACAACATGGGTTTTCAAGTTTCCTGTCCAAATCTCTGAGGGAGTCATAAGTAACTGGTGTGGGCTGCACACTTTAAAAAAATAATTGAAATCTGATCAGGCAGACAAAATGCAAACAACGTTAAGACTCACTGCAAAGTTTGCTCCTTTTTTCTTGCAAAAGGAAGGTGGCTACTGGCTTGGAAAGTTTGAGAAATGCTGCGAGAAATACTAAGGCGTGAATTTGTTTTTCATCTAGCCTAAATAATCCAAACATTATTTTTATTTATAGGGAGAGGAAAGTTTGTATACATTCATTTTTTCCTTTAAGGGCCCAGGGTACCCAAAACTTTGAGAACCTGAATAACATGTCAAATTAATATGAATCCATATCAGGCTTGTTTCTTGGGTTTGAAATTTATATCCAAGAGCTCTGACCACCAAAAGGTAATTCTGGGATGTACTTGACAGCAGAGAGTAGGGCAATGGTTCTTAAAAAGTAATATAATATCTTCAGGTTAGGGTTGAATTGTAGGGTTCCTGGTGCTCTCTGAACTTGGTTTGCTTTCAGACATTTCATTACCTGATTAGATAATATCATCATTGCGAAGGGGTGCGGAGTTTGCTCCCTGTTTATTTATTTGCCCTGCCAGTGTTGGTGGAGGTGTGACATCTGAGAAACAATCAAGTAGAAAACAGTACCCTAAGCAAGGAACTACCAAAGGGAAAAAACCACACCCCACCAACAAAGGCAGGGGAAGTTACTGCATACAGGGAGCAAACTCCATCTTCCCTGGCATTGATGATACTACTAGTCGGGTAATGAAATGTCTGCAAACATACAACCAAGCTCAGAGGGCACCAAGGACTCCACAGTTCTTAAGAAGTTCAGAACCTGATATAAAGAAATACATACGTACAGGAACATGCCCAAGAAGAGTAAAAGTATCTAAATAAAAGAAGGTGGGTTAAGAATGCACCAGGCACCATCATAACTTACCTACATAGACCCTGCCATGCTCCACAGAGGCTGGGATGGCCCGGATCATGTACTTTTTTGTCTTCAACCCTTTCTCATAAAACTCCTTCATCAGCAGATGGTTCTCCCCATAGATGCCCGTTGGACGAAGGGCACAAGTGACTAGCCGCTTCCCGTTTGGCATCTGCAAAAAAGAAAGATTTTCTTTTTTGATTGGCACATCTGAGCATGTTGTGGGTGGACAATCCACCATTGAGGGAAAGTTAGAAGTTGGTGGCAAAGTCTTTATTTAGGTATTAGTTTGTTGGACTTTCATCCCAGGTTTCCCTGGAGATTCAAACAAGGGATCTAGCCATCTTTCCTTGTGGCTTCTCCTAACAAAAAGCAAGTGAGATAGGTTGGGCCAATGGAGAGGAACACCAAGGCCCAAAATCACTTCTCCTGTGAAGTTTCATGACTGAAAGCGGACTACACCTGGGTTTCTCCAATCGGACTCCATATGAGACTACATATGGCCCAGAGTCACCTAATGAAAGTCCATCATTGAGGATGGATTTGAATCTGGGCCTTCCTTCACCACTTAATCAAAACAACAGTATTGAATCAAGGGGTCTAGGGTTCAAAGCCCACAAAAATGACTAGTGAAAAAGAACAAAGGGAAGGCAGTATAGCAGAACTATAGAGCACTGTACACCAAGACAACTAGACAATTTCCCTTGTGCCTTCACTCTGCTGAATACCTAATACTCGCAGCTGACAAAATAGAGTGACTACTAAGTGTGTTTATTGGTTTTTTTTTTTGCCTGTTGTGTATGTATATGAACTCATAGGGTGTGGTTGCAGGATTATTATTTATCCCTTTTATTATTGTTACTTCCTCCTCCTTATTGGCTGTGCACTTCAGTATTATTGTTATACTGTGTACACTAAGTGCTTCTGCATCAGAGACAAATTCCTTGTGTGTCTAATCACACTTGGCCAAATAAATAAACCATATAAGTATATATGTAGGCAGAGCTGCTTCAAATAGTCTTCTCCACCACCGTACTCTGCGGATAACGTGACCTGTCATGCACAGATCAATCCACAGTCACCACATGCTGTCTGAATCTTTTGCAGAGTGCCAGTTTCAAGGAAACCGCTACAGACAGGTAGGGTTTGAGATAGAAGGATGCCAAGAAGCATGGGTTGGTTAACTCAGTAGACTTTCAAACTTCTCTCTCAAGTTCTAGCTTACCAGTTGCCCATTGGCTTCGATGACCAGACGCTCAGCATTGGCTTTGCTAAGTGGGTAAGGATGGTGGTGGATGGCCTCATATTTCATGTCCTCGTTGCCCCTGCAAGCAAGGAAGAAAGCATCACAGGCTATCAAAACCCTGTGCTTGCAACAGGTGAGACCAAGAGAAGTTAACCAGGTTACAGTTAACAAAGTTATGTGTCTTATTAAATACACTTTAGCACTGTTCATTTAAATCCAGTGCAATTTCTACAGTGGCTTCTGCCCCCTGCATTTCATAGGAGAGGATAACACTCCTGAACCCTTAAATGATATGGGGAAGAAAAATGAGGGGATCTGTTGCTTCTCTTGACTCCCCATGACGGAAAGGGTTGTGTCTAATAGGTTTTTCCTATATGCATCTGTTAAAAATACAAGTATACAGGCAATCCTCGACTTATGACCACAACTGAGCCCAAAAATTCTGTTGTTTAAGCAAGACGGTTGTTAAGCGAGTGTTGCCCCATTTTACAACCTTTCTTGTAACAAATGTTAAGTGAATCACTGCAGCTGTTAAGTCAGTAAGATGATTGTATAGTGTATCTGGATACCCCATTGATTCTGGTTGTCAGAAGGTCGCAAAATGGGATCACCATGACCTCGGGACTCTACAACTGTCATAAATATGAACCAGTTGCCACGCATCCAAAGTTTGATTGGGTGACCCTGGGGATGCTGCAACGGTCATAATAAGCGTGAAAAACAGCCATAAGTCATAAGTCACGGAATGATTGAAGATCCCTTTCACCCTGCAGTGAAAATTTTTCAAATTTGCAAACCTTGGGGTGACTAAGCTTCTAACCACGAACAACAGTCAACTTTCCCTAATTTTAGAAGGGAGAGCAGAGCCACTGGCCCACACCCATAGAGAGCGCTAGGCCTTTAAAATTCCTTCCTGGCTTGTCTCCACGGTGACTGTTAGTAACTGTATCCCTGTTGCTATGGCAATGCTAGGAGAACCCAGGGAAACCCTTGATTAGGGCCAAAACATGTGCGTCTCGCCTAAATCAGGGGAACTCCCTGTTATTTACGGCCAACACTGAAACTCAGTTAACTCTTGAGGGGTTCACTTCTATTTTTAAAAATATGCATGTTTAGGCCCTTCAATAGCTAAAACAGTGGGAGAAGACTCAAAAGAATAAGAAACTCCAAAGTTGACCAAATTAAAACATAGAATAATACGGTTGAAAGGGAACTTGGTTACCTTCTAGTCCATCCCAAGGGAAATTCAAAGAAATTGTATTTTTCTTGTTTTTTCTTGGAAGACGTTTTGCTTCTCATCCAAGAAGCTTCTTCAGCTCTGACTGGATGGTGGAGAATGGAAAGATTTATACTCCTTGCAGACCGCTGGTCATTTGCATCCTTTTTAGAGAATAGTTGAGGCCACTTGGAAGTTTGTTTGGGTCCTCAGGGTCACCTGAGTAGTGCAAATGGGTGTGGAGCCTTCTTGGAACTGCTGCAAGGACTGTGTTGTGGAGCTGTGCTTTCTGAAGGATGTTTTTCATTGCCCTGTGTTCCTTTGCTGTTGAACACAGGCACAGGCTGTCGGGGATGAGTCTGTGTTGTCAGCTTGAGGTGCAGACAACAGAGAAAAACAACCTGCAGAAAGCACAACTTCACAACACAGTCTTTTCAGAAGTTCCAAGAAGGCTCCACACCCATGTGCACTACTCAGGTGATACTCAGGTGACCCTTGGGGCACAGACAAGAATGCAAATGACCAGCTGTCTGCAAGGAGTATAAATCCTTTCATTACCCACCAGTGGTGGCTTCCTCCCGGTTCAGCCCGGTTCAGCCGAGCCGGTAGTGGTGACGATATGACATCACCGAACCAGTTCTGCCCCCCCGCCCCCCCCACACCCTGTGTTATTCTTACCTTTTATTTGGCCCCACCCCCAATGTATTGCTGCCTCCTGAGTCCCAGCTGATGGCAAGAGGGAAAAAAACTGTTTAAACTCTTGCCACTGGGCTTCAAAGGGCCTCCCTACAGCTGATCAGTGTTAAAAGAAAACAAATGAGTAGACTGGTGCCTGCAGAAATAAATGGGTAGATCAGTGCCTGCAAAAATACATGAGTAGATCAGTGCCTGCAAAAATAAATGGGTAGATTGGTACAGCTCTGCAAGTAGTTAAAAGCCTGGTAGACCAGTACCTCTGCTAAATCCTAAATAATTATCACATGACCATCAAGCCATGCCCACAAAATAAGCCACACCCACAGAACCAGTAGTAAAAAATTTTAGAACCCACCCCTGTTACCCACCATCCAGTCAGAGCTGAAGAAGCCTCTTGGATGAGAAGTGAAATGTCTTCAAAGAAAAAATGAGAAAGTTCAGTCACCGCCTGAAAAAGTACCTTTGGGACAACTATGACCTGGGTGACTGAGAATCTCTCAAAATTGCAGAAAAACTCCCCAGTTTTCTTGGCCCAATGGAGCACTACATTATTATTATTATCATTAGTATTATTATTAGTACTATTAGTATTAATATTAGTATTATTAGTATTAATATTATTATAATAAAAATAAGCAACTCATACCTGTAGAAAGGGTGGCCTTTTATGTTAGGTCCTACAACCTCCATGCTGCTGGTGTAAATCAGATACTGGGCTCCTTGCATGACACAGGCCTCAATTACATTTTTGGTTCCTAGAGGGAAAGAGGGAAAAAGAAGGGATAAGAGAAGGAGGAGAAACAATACAAAACTTGGCTGTCCACCACAGCCCTCGCCTGCTGGAAAAGAAACAGCTCTGCCAGGAATGAAAAAGGAACAATTAAATCTGTGGGATTTTCATTGCGTAGGAACCAATTGTTTTAGCACCTCATTTTTCCATAATAAACAGAAGCAGAGCGCTGTTACAACTTTGGTCACTAAATGAACTGCTGTGAAGCCAAGGACTATCTATACTGCCTTTGGTGATTGAATGCCATTCTACCTACTAATGTGCGTCTGAGTTTCCTTGAGGAATATTAAAGGTGATTTGCAAAGCAAAATGAAAATGAAGCCAAACCAATTTGCAGGCTACCGTTCTCCTGCTCGGCAGGATCCTACAATCTGTGATTGTGTAACTCCGGCTTTTGCACCAGAGACAAATTCCCTGTGTATCCAATCACATTTGGCCAATAATTCTATTCTATTCTATTCTATTCTATTCTATTCTATTCCATTCCATTCCATTCCATTCCATTCCATTATTTACAGCAGATAACTTGGAAGGAAGTAACTGGGGAAGTCAAACTTATTTTGTAAATGCCAGGATTCCTTTGACCTTGCTCAAATAGTCTTTTTTTTTGCAAATCAAGCCATTTCCTACACATTTGTCTCATATCGGAGATTGGGGGTGATTCAGCTAAAGGAAAGGCATATTATTGTAATTCAACATAACCATTGCTGAGAGTGGTTGCACATCCCACCTCTGCTGTGGTCCTGGGAAAAGAAACAAGCCCCAAGGCTGCCTGGAACGACAACAAGGTCAGCCTGTGAATTTTCTCATGCCACAATTGTATGACAAGGATGCAAGCTATCAACCAGGCTGTGTGTGTCTCTAGACTGCAGGCGTGAACAATAACAGGAAAAGATTTGGAAGGGATTTGTGGCAAAACCCCATTACCCAAGTTTGTGAACCACAAGAAGCCTGAAGCTAGGACTTCCAGACGGCCCTTAGGAGACGTGTGGGACTCAGAGGCTATATTCACGCTAGGTTACGGAAAACAACAGCTGTCTTTCAAATTTGGCAGTATAATGATAACTTGATCCAGTCTAAGCCTCTGAAGAGATAATAACAGGACGTGGTCAGGTGGTCCTACCAATTACGAAAGCTATTTAGTATTCCTATGATCTCTTCTCCTTCTAACCCCGATCCTATTCTTTCAGGGAATAAGAGATCTCGGGTTAAAGAAGTGTTTACATTTTCAGTCAATTATCTTTTTTTTAGGTCTCTTTCGCCCTCCAAGTTACTAATTCTGTGTGTATTACCGTAGGTCTCTCGGCTATTTCAAAACACTCTTTGACTCAGTTCAGAAGTTAGAGCAATTCTGTCTTAGACCATGTAAATATAGCACTGTCATGTAAGAATAGATTGGATCATGCATTGCTTAGTCTAATTAGTAGGTTGTCATAAGCAAATTGTCAGTGTCAGAGAAAACAGGTGTTAGGCCTGGCTTCTGGAACTATAAACCAGCTACAGCAGTTGTGTTTGCAGGGCACAGCTAGAAGGGTTGGCTGGTTTGTGGTTCAGGGTGTCATGAGAAGACAGCCAACAAGGATTACAGCACTCCCTTTCTAGCATCTCTGGAAGGACTTTTCAATGTTGGCAACTTTAAGATTTTACCTCTTAAAGGTAAGGGTGGGGGGAACAGACACAAAATTTTTGAGACAAAAATTAGGTTTGTCAAGGAAACAAAATAGAATCATCCAAACAATTGAGTTTTAGGTGGGCTTCCTTTCATTAAAAAAAAATAAAACACAAGAAGACTGACAGGTGTCAATCACTGGAGGATATGAGGGGTTCTCCTTTTTCTGGCTTGCAAATGAAAGTCTCTGTTTGCAACAGATTAACACAGAGGAGAATTTTATAGGATTGAAAACTATTCTCTTTAAATGACTTTGCTATTTAAACCATCTTGGTCTTGTCCAAAATGTTCGGCGTTTTGAAATAAACTGGCTTTCAGATCAAGTGAATGTCAAAAGTCAAATCTCAACCCAAGATATACTGACATACTGCATTCATTCGTTTATTTGTTCATTCTAGGAAACATTTTTGAGCAGAGCTTCCTTGAATATAGATCATAACAATTAAAGAGAGACATTAAGAATATTGAAAATGAAAATTAATGCATTTCTTGCTACTACGACTTCTCATACTTGTTTGATGGGATTTTAATACATTACAGATAGTCCTCGAGTTGCGACCGCAATTGAGCCCAACATTTCTATTGCTAGGTGAGATAAGGGGAATTTCGCCCCATTTTGTAATCTTTCTTGCCACAGTTATTAAGTGTATCACTGCAGTTGTTAAATTAGTAACACAATTGTTAAATGAATCTGGCCTCCCCATTGACTTTGCTCATCAGGAGGTCGCAAAAGGTGATCACATGATCCCAGGACACTGCAATGGTCATAAATGTAAGCCAGTTGCCAAGTGTCCAAATTTTGATCACATGACCATGGGGATGCTACAAAGGTCGAAAGAAAAATGGTCATAAGTCACTTTTTTCAGTGCTGTTGAAAAATGGTCATAAGTCACTTTTTCAAGGGCTGTTACAACTAAATGAACTGTTATAAGTCAAGGACTACCTATATATTTCAACATAGGTTGGAAAATAATTTCAACTAAGATCCTTCTGGTAAGATCTTAGGGGAGCCTAGGCCACATTTTAATACTGTTTTCCTACCTAAGCTCTTCAAATTGTATGGACTTCAACTCCCAATAATCTTTAAAACTAGTGGATTCGAAGAAGGAATTTGCTGAGATTTAAAACTAGAATTCCGGGAAAGCCTAATGGAAATTCACTCTGAACAGCTTAGCTGTGGCCCTACCTCACAGGGTCATTGTGAAAACAAGAAAATGTGTGTGTTTAAAATATAATAAAATAAAATAGAAATGAATAGAATAGAATGGAATGGAATGTAATAGGATAGGATAGGATAGGATAGGATAGGATAGGATAGGATAGGATATAGGATAGAATAGAATAGAATAGAATAGAATAGAATAGAATAGAATAGAATAGAATAGCAGAGCAGAGCAGAGCAGAGCAGAGCAGAGCACTTCTCCTCTAAAGATCTCTTAACTCCGCTTTCCCAACAGGTTGTTTCTTTTGAAAATTTAGCATTTATCATCCTGACAACTGAGCTTGTTAGTTGATTCCAGACAATTGTTGCAAAAGTCTAAATGGAAAACAACAAAATGCCTCTTGGATCATCCTTTTCTTTGCTTGTTTGATCCGCCCTAAGATATTAATCATGCAAACAAAAGTATAAAGATGCCTCATACGTGGATTTTGTTATTTTTGCTCCTGACTCATCCTAGGCACAATCTTTAAAAGCAAAGTGCCTCTCTTAAAAGCGCCCTGAAGCTTCTCCCAAATGCTCAGCAGGATCATCACACTGGGCCTCCGGAGCCAAACCAAATTAGCTCCAGAAAGGCCAGAAAAATAGGCAAGGATCTTGGAGGCTGGCACACAACAAAAGGCGAGGGCGGAAGCCTGTGGCATTCCAGCTGGGGCCCTGGGTGGAGAGATGAGCAACTTTCTTTAAGGTCAGGAGAATGTCAAAATTAAATCAAGCAAAACAATACAAAACTGGAAGATATATTTCAAATACAAATTTTATTTCATTCCATTCCATTTTTTGTTGCTGGGTGGGCGTGGCCATGGTGGGCGTGGCCTAGTCTGCCTCTTGCACCACAGCGGGGGGGGGGGCGTTTTTACCCTCCCCGGGCTCCGGAGGCTTTCCTTGAGCCTCCGGGAGGGTGAAAATAGCCTCCCCAGGCTCCCAAACTTTCGGTAAACCCGTTTTTCACCCTCCCCGGGACTCCATGCACGCCCTGCACTTATCTGCATCCAAAACGGGCTGCGTGGAGGGGCAGGGTGAGTGGGAGGGGCCATACAGGAGTAGGATTTTGGGGTTCTCCGAACTGCACAGAATCTTAGTTAGAGGTTTTCCCAAACTCCTGCGAACCCCCAGCAGCCCACCCCTGAATATCACTAATATGATTACACCCAGTGCACCAATTTGGAACAGGAATTATAATTTCAGCGATTTTGGTGAGAAAGACTGGACTCAAAGCTTCTGCCCTTCTCCTCTACCAGATTTTCATCAGCTCTGATTCTTGGGTTCCTAGAAGACCCTTCCCCAGCCTGGCACCCAGGGAACTGAAGAAGACACCTCTGTTCTCACAGAGTAGTTAAGCAATATTTCCAGTTATGAACTATAATTCTTTCAGGCCTTGTAAGCCAGAGGTATAAATATTTTCTTCTTGGAAATGTTGATCACATTTGTTGCACAAACAACTTATATAGCTTTCATCTCATTTTCTTTTCCTATCACGTTCAATGGTGATCACATTCTGGTTGTTTATTCCATTCTACTTGGAATAAATCTCATGCTATCATCATCAAAAAGCTAATTTAATAAATGGAATTATTTCAATAAAATTGTTTCAGTGGCTTATCGATCAGAAAGGTCTGCAGTTCAGCAGTTCAAATCCCTAGTACAGGTCTCCTGCATGAGAAGGGGGTTGGACTAGATGACCTCAAAGGTCCCTTCCAACTCTTACTGTTACTGTTTCCCACATTTTCTTGCCTAATTTCACATGCATAAAAATCAGCCTAAGGGCATGAAACCCTTTTTAAAAACCCATTCCTTCTCTTGGTGGAATCAAAAACTTTATTTATTTATTTTTTAAATAAATAGCAGTTGAATCAGAAAATGGAATTATCTTCCTCAACCAGAAAGTGCTAGAAGAGATGTAAAGTAAGATTTATTCTGCTGGGAAATTTCAAAATAGGGGTGAGATTATGCATCAAATGCTTCCATATGGAAAGATTCTGCAACTTTGACAACTGATGAATTTTGGAGAAAGCAGGGATGAAAGCTTTTATCCCATATAACATTTTGGGAATGTACAAAGTTGTATGCATCTGCTATAATTAGCGGATCTGAGGATCTTTGGAATTTTGAGAAGATGGGTCTTCTTAAATGGCTGCCAAAAAGGACTTGCACGTTTCCAAATTGGTGCCACAGAAGACACAGCCTCTAAAAAATGTGCTATCAATTGGGGTACCAAGGTTGCAGAAAAACCCAATTCTTTGCTGCTTTCTAGTGACTGACTGGATTTTCCCAGCTATATCCCCACCTGAAGTAACCTAAACCAGTACTTCTCAACCTCACAAACTTTAAGAGGAGTGGATTAATTCCCACTCCTTGGGAGGATTAATTCCTTGGAAGCATGCCTATCCATTTCAGATGGCTATCACCTCAATCTCATCCTATAAATGTTGCTTTGGTCTCAGTGAGAAGCAGTTTTTGTGTGTGGTGTGCCTTTAAGTCAGTGTTAATTCCTAGTGACTGCCTGGATAAGATCCCTAAAGTTTTCTTGGCAAGGTTTCAGAAGTAGCTCGCCATTGCTTCCTTCCTAGTGCTGAGAGAGAATGACTGGCCTAGAGTCCCCCAACTCTAGTCAGAACTAGAACTCACAGTCTCCTAGTGTCTGGCCTTATGCCTTTCATCATTACACCACACTGGCTCTCATGAAGCTTACAGGTAATCCTCAACTTACAACAGTTCATTTAATGACCATTCAAAGTAACATCGGCACTGAAAAAAATGACTTACGATCATTTTTTCACAGTTACAACCGATGTACCACTGGCATGGTCATGTGATCAAAATTCACATGCTTGGCAACTGACTCATGTTTTTGACCATTGCAGTGTCCTGGGGTCCTGTGATCTCCTTTTGCAAACTTCTGACAAGCAAAATCAATGGGGAAGCTTTGATTCACTTCACAACATTGTTACTAACTTAATAACTGAGGCAAGAAAAGTCATAAACTGGGTTTAAAACTCACTTGGCAACTGTCTCACTTAGTAACAGAACTGTTGGGCTCAATTGTGGTTGCATGTCGAGAACTTCCTGAATATATCCAAGTGAAAATCCACCTACAAATCCCATAGATTTCAAAGTATCTATGAGTATACCCACCATTTCTCAGGCTAGAAAGCCATGGATGTTATATTATGTCATGTCGCCATATTCAAAGTTTTAAGAAAATAATCAGTGGATTGGTTCTTTGGCACATCTACTCCAGCAGTCTGTTCTTGCAGGGAACAGACCAGTGGAGAAATCCTCCACGAATTGCCACCAGTTTGCTGTCTGCGCATGGGTGCTGCATGTCAAACACATGCCACGCATGCGCATACACATTGTGTGTCAAAATCACACTGCACACGCATGCACAGTGCGCACCAAACATGCACTTCGTGCAGAAAAAGAAGCCTTTTCTAAGGTAAGTAGAACAGTGAGTGGGGGGAACAGCTGTGCCACGCGATTTAGATTTGCTAGAAAGCAGGATTTCCTGCTTTCTAGCGAATATAAACTGCGCGGCACAGCTGATTGTCAGAAATACCAATTTGGACGAACTGGTAGCTTTTTTAAATCACTACCAGTTCACCCGAACAGGTGCAAACCGGTAGCATTTCACCTTGGGATAGAAAATTGTAGAAGGAAGCCTATCAATCTCCCAGCAGAGGGTCTTCAGGGGCAGTCTCATCAAGGAGTCATTGATCTACTTGATTTCCATGAATTGCTCCAGCCTTTTTGGAAAACTAACCTAGCTGATCGCCAACACCCACCAAAGTTGAATTAGACATTATATAAAAAAAGAAAAGGAAAAAAAAGACCTTCCTTTTGTCTGTCTCCATTCTTCCAGTATTCAGTTTCACTCAGTGGTGGATTGCTATCGGTTCGCCCCGGATTGGGTGAACCTGTAGCTGCGGTAGCGGGAGGCTCCACCCACTCACCCGGATGTTTCTGCGCATGTGCAGAAGTGTCCACGTGCCCACGAGCAAACTGGTAGCGACTGAAATTGAAACCCACTACTAGTTTCACCTCTGGTTCTAACAAGATTTTTACCTGATTTGCCTATTGCTTCCTGGGGATCAAAAAGAGAGAGCACATTTTTCTGGAATGAACCTGACCATTTATGAGAGAGGTCCGTCCGGCAGCTACATTAGCAGCTGAGCACTTTTCTTTTTTTATCAGGCTTTTGAATTGTCTTGAATTGTACCTTAATTTATACTGTTTTAGATTTACTGTGGGCTAATTTTTATCCATTATTTTATTTGATTTTATTGTATATATGCTTATATTCAAATTGTGTCATTTGGTTGGTTTTATTATAAACCACTCAGGGAACCTTGGTTACTAAATGGGCTAAATGTTTTGATAGACAGACAGACAGAGTTACCTGTAGACTTTAAAAGAAAATGCTATCAAGGATATAGCAAGTAGTTTAAGTCCTGTTGTTCTAATTCAGGATTCTGAACCAAAGAGTTCCTTTCTTAGTTTAGCATTACACTAAGAAGTATATTCTGGGTTCAGAAAAATTGCAAACAGATGACTTAGAAAAACTACAAATGATTCATTCAGATTCATTCATGCTGCCCCATCATTCCACACCCCTTCTGACCACAGATGAAAGAGATAAATTAGAAAAAGCAAAAACACTTTTTGGAAGCCAGTTCTATTTATTTTTAAAAGCTGGGATTCAAATAAAAAGGATTAAGTTTGGCTTAAGCCTTGGAATATACACCCAAGTTCCTCCAGACGTTTCTATTAAGTTAGACATGTTTGATGTGATAGATGGAGTAAACAACCCAACATCCCCTTAATCAAATCTAAATGTAAAAAGGACTTTCTCTGCTCCCATTTGTTTTGTGGGGTGGAATCTTCCCCACAGGCTTAAAAAAGCACAGTGTTGAAGGTTCCATTCCACAAAATGGGAGTGTGCGTGAATGGATGCAACGATGACAAAATTCCATCAACCTCAATAAGGTAAGCAGATTCAGCAACAAAACAATTTTTTCCTTGTGCAATTAATTTTTGTGCACCTGCCACACCCTTGTTGCTGGGACAAATTCCACAAACTCAGAAGGGGCCTCTTGATCTGATTTGCGCTATGTAGAGAAACTGATCAGACATTTGAAGGTTTTCCCGCCAAAACTTACCTTGCACATTAACTGCCATGATCTTCTCAGGTGGGACTCTGCCCCAGACGTCCACCAGACCGGCCGTGTGAATGACCACATGGGCACCTTGGACTGCTGGCTTCACATCCTCTGGATTGCTGATGTCTCCTTGGATGAGAGTCACTTTAATTTTCCAGAACAAAACAGAGAGAAAGAGATAAATTAACTTTTTTAATTAGAGAAAAGACACAATCCACATCAATGAGTGACTAGAAACTTAAGGAATTTTTGCATAAAAATGAAAAGAAAAATAAAGTTGTGATGTATGGCTATGAAGATTAGACTAGATAGATTACAGAAAACAGAGTATTATGAAATAATTTTAGAGACAGGGGTTAAAATATAGTTGTTCCTAAAACCGCTGTGAAGAATATCAGAAGCCACTTCTCTGTATCTTTTTCTTTTCTTTTTCTTAAATATTCTGGTCCTTTTTGCTTTTTGTTTTCTTCTCTTTTTCTATTTTCTTCTATATTTTATATTAATTTGGATTAGTTTTTTTGCTCCTTTTTTTTAAAGTTTCAATAAAAATCATATAAAAAACAGAACAAAGGGAGAATGAATGAATGAATGAGGTTTTTGTGACACCCAGAAGCCTGCAGCACTGAACCAACAGAGAAAAAGACATAGAAGTGAGAAGCACACAATGGAATAAAACAGATACAGTATTGTTGACTTGTTCCCTTCCTTTCCCCAGGCAAGATCAAATGGGCAGAAAGGAAACAAGACGACATCAAGAATAGAGCAACAGTTCCAACCTGGGAGGTTGGAATATGAATGGTGCCTGAAAATAGCAAGTGAAAATCCTGCCAGAACCTCAAGAACCTCAACCTCTGGACCTCAAGTCTTCTGTCTAAGAATCTGTGTAGGAGCCTCTGTTCTGCCCTTCTATTGCTTACATCCTCTTCTAAGGGAGGAAAGGGACAGAGAGCACGAAAAGTAATTCTAAACTATCAGAAAGTTCATTGAGGCAGCAATATTTGGCTACAACATCTTTTAATGTCAGTGTTTTTCAAATTGGTTGTTTTTTATTTGTTTCATCGCTCAGGGTCATTTGTTAAGATGAAAGGAATCTCCAGGAAGGAAGGGAGAGAGGGAGGGAGGGCAGAAGGGAATGAGAAAAAGTGGGGGAGGGAGAGAGGAAGAGGAGGGAAGTGGGAGTAAGAAAAAAGGAGGGAAGAAGGAAGGAGAATTAGGAGGGAGGGGGAGCTGGGAATGAGAAAAAAGGAGGGAAGAAGGAAGGAGAATTAGGAGGGAGGGGGAGCTGGGAATGAGAAAAAAGGAGGGAAGAAGGAAGGAGAATTAGGAGGGAGGGGGAGCTGGGAATGAGAAAAAAGGAGGGAGGGAGAGAAGGGAAGTGGGAATGAGAAAAAGGAAGGAAGGAGAATAGGAAGGAAGGAAGGAAGGTTGATAGATGTGGTGTCAGCCAAACACTGACTTATTAAAGCAAGTGCTTGATAGGATTAGATCCAGAAACATGGGGAGGGAGGCTATTAAAGAGAGAAGCATTGATAAGTCTTCCAAACTATTATTTGTTACATAGAATAGAATAGAGCAGAGCAGAGCAGAGCAGAACAGAACAGAACAGAACAGAATAAAATAGAAACTTTATTTTCACTTTAAATGTACACTAGATCAGGGTTTGACAGCATCATTTATTTTAGAGAGCTCACTTAGTTACTTCTGACTTTGCTTTCAATGGATTTCCCTTGGAATCCCTACGGATTTAGGACAAATGTCCTTAGAATGAGAGGCACACATCTCAAGGGAACCACAAGGCAATTAACAGGATTGTGGGGGAAAAAGATAAATTGACTATATTTATTATTTAATCTTAAAAAAGAATGAAAGAAATTAAGTGTTACTTATAATATAACAGGAGATGCAAAATATCTGTGGGGTATATTTTAGAATGTAGGTAATCTCTTAGTAGCATTGTATAGGTTTACTGTATAATTTCTAAATAAATACACATAGCATATTAGGGGTAGAAAAAAAAACCCTTTACTGTTCAGGGTAAGATGATCAAAAAAAGTTTGGAGATCCCCAGTTTAGAAAACTTAGGCAACCTTCAGTCATCTTTCCTGCTTGGAAGAAAACAAAATACAGATAGTCCTTGATTTATTACCAGAATTGGGACCAGCGGTTGTTAAATAAGTCACAGCAAATTTTACAATCTTTTTTGCCATGGTTGTTAAACTCAGTTAAGTGAATCGGTCATTAAGCAAATCTGGCTCCCCGCCCCTTGATTTTGTTTGTCGGAAGCTGGATGGGAAGTTTGCGAATGGCGATCACATGACTCCAGGATGCCATAACTATGAGAGACACATGCCAATTGCCAAGCAACTGAATTTTGATCAGGTGACCATAGGGATGCTGCAATGGTTGTGTGAGTACCGGTCGTAAATCAATTTTTTTCAGTGCCGTTGTGACCTTGAACCAGAGGTGGGTTTCAGCAGGTTCTGACCACATCTGGAGAACTGGCAGCGGAAATTTTGAGTAGTTTGGAGAACTGGTAAATACCACCTCTGACTGGCCTAACTTCCATCTATTCTCTGCCTCCTGAGTCCCAGCTGATTGGGAGGAAATGAGGATTTTGCAGTAACCTTCCCATGGAGTGGGGTGGGAATGGAGATTTTACAGTATCCTTCCCCTGCCATGCCCACCAAGCCACGCCAACAGAAACGGTAGTAAAAAAAAATTGAATCCCACCACTGCCTTGAACGGTCGTTAAATGAATGGTTTTAAGTCAAGAACTACCTATATCTCAAAAATTTAGATCATGGTGTGGAGTCCTGGAGGGAAGGTGAATAATGGGAATAAACCTCTGTGCAGTTTAGCAAAACCCGGCCATTGATTCTCCTATTTCCTCCTTCCTTATCAAGCACTTCTCCACATATTCTCAGCAAACAATTGTAATTGTGAACTATTTCAACAGCTTCGACTAATCCTAGTCACAAACTGTGTTAACCACCATGCTCTGGAAGGGACTGTGCTTCAAGAGGAAGGAACAGACCTCAGTAGGGTGAAAGAACAGGTGTTTCCTCCCTAAAACAGCATTGCCTTTGGATTATATAGAACAAGAGGCGGGTGGGGGGAGCAAGAATTGTGGTGGGATGGGAACTCCAGGCAACACCATCCATAAACTACACAATACAATTTTGTAACTCTGGATGACAACATGGTATAATTCTAGGGTGCTACGCTGGAAAGTATGTAGCTATTATCACTTGTTCTGAGAGAGATTAGCAATCGGGACCCAGAATGCCCAAACTTCCCTCTTTCCTCCTCACTCCCTTTCCTTTTATGTTATGTCTTCTGACATCTTTACAGGTAGTCCTCGATTGATGATCACAATTGAGCCCCAAATTTCTATTGCAAAGTGAGACAATTTGTTAAGTGAGTTTTGCTCATTTTACGACCTTTCTTGCCATGGTTGTCATGTGAATCACTTGCAGCTGTTTTAGTTAGAAACTCAGTTGTTAACTGAATCTGGTTTCCCCGTTGACTTTGCTTGTGAGACGGTCACAAAAGGGGATCACATGACCCTGGGATACTGCAAATGTCGTAAATAGGAGTCAGTTGCCAGGCATCTGAATTTGGATTACGTGACCACAGGGTTGCTGCAATGGTCTTAAGTGTGAAAAATGATCATAAGTCACTTTTTTCAGAGCCATTGTAACTTTGAATTGAACTGTTATAAGTCGAGGACTACCTGTATATTAAAGAGAGGACTACCTTACTATGTAGTAACTTACTTCTGCCAACCTAACAGTTCAAAAGCACTTAAAAATGCAAGTAGAAAAATAGGGACCATCTTTGGTAACAGCGTTCTGTGAGCCTTTGGCGTTAGTCATGCCGGCCACATGACCACAGAGACGTCTTCAGACAGCGCTGACTCTTTGGCTTTGAAACGGAGATGAGCACCACCCCCTAGAGTCGGGAATGACTAGCACATATGTGCTTTTACCTTACTATGTAAACTGCTCAGGCTACAAAGTATGGCATAAATATTGGACATAAGCAAAAAGCAAAGCTATTTTAATCAAATTATCTTTCTATCTTTCCCAGGGCCTGCCTTAAATTTCTTTTTGCAACACTACCTGCCTTTGATATTCACCAATACCCCAAGCTTCAGGGGAGAAATGTGGGGCAACTTTTAAAACTCAGTGCGGTGTAACGGTATGTGGGAGAGGCCGTGGGAGAATGGGCGGAGGGACTGTCAAGGAAGCAATCAGATAAGAAACAGCATAGCCTAGTTTCTCAGGCTGTAAAGGAGTGGGGGGGGGATTGTACTTTCATTCTTGCAAGACTCTGTCAATGTAGCTTTACAATAAATAGAATATAGGTAATCCTTGATTTACAACCACAATAGAGCCGCAAATTTAGGTTGCTATGTGGGAAATTTGTTGAGTGAGTTTTGCTCCATTTTTACCCCTCTCCTTGCCACATTTGTTAAGCAAACCCCTGCAGTTGTTTAAGTTAGTCACACAGTTGTTAAGTGAATCCAGCTTCCCCAATGACTTTGCTTGTCAGATGGTTGCAAAAGGGGATCGCAGGACCCACCCACCCTCCCTCTCGGGGATGCTGAGACTGTCAGAAATATGAACCGGTTGTCAAGCATCCGAATGCAAATCACTCGACCATGGGGATGCTGCAATGTTAAATGTGAAAAATGGTCTTAAGCTCCCTTTTTTTTCCAGTACCATTGTAACTTCGAACAGTCACTAAATGAACTGTTGTAAATCGAGGGCTACCTGTAAATGAATAGAATTAGCTCCTCTGATTGTGTGATGGTGATTCCCATCTGGCTAATCCCGTGAGAGCAACATCAATTTTGCAGCTTGTGTTGCAACAACACCGTTGCCAGATGCTTGTCAGGCTACAGAGTCTCTTGAGCATTGGAAGCCTGAAATTATTCTCATTGGAAAGAGTAGATTACTTGCAAAATTGATATGGGCCTCTTAATCAAACAAGCCAAGCTTCATCCTAAATCTGATGAACTAGATCTAAGCTGGAAAGAACAAGGTTAATGAGCGTAGCCTGAACTAGTACTAAGCAATTATGTGCAAATTGGGTGTGGATAAATGTTCAATTATTGTGTACTAGCTGGATCCCTGTGCTTC